GATGCATCACCCCAAAGTAATTGAATAAATTCTGATGAGATAAAATAACTTGAACATACTTGATGATAAGTATTTGGTTGAATAGAAAGAAATTTTGAATATTGAATTGATATTCGTGAACATGGACATGTTAATGATGATAAATATTGAATATTTAATTTTTCAAATATTAATTCTGTTGGAGATGATATTTTTATAGAATGTATCTGTGAATTTAATCCAGTAAACGTTATTATAACTATAATTGCTATCATAAAAAAAATAATATAAAAACGAGTAGCGACTTGTTGACGTTCTATAATTAATGTTTCATTATTTATTTGTAGATTTTGTCTTACACCATTCTTTTGTACATTACAATAGACATTCATTCTTCGAATAGCATTTCGACATTGGTGGAAATAGATTATAATTTTATGACGATTATCTTAGAATATAAGTAAAAAAAAAGAAAATTTTTATTTTTCATTTATTATTAAACATTTATATTAACAGAATCGTAGTGATGGATTCTATTGATGAAATCAATCATATTCTAATAAATAAGAAACTAAATAGAATAAATACTTTTTTTTCTCTATTAGAAGACAACACATAAAGTGTCATCTATATTGATTGTCAGTCTTATTCTAGCTCATAACTCGTACTCACTTTACATTCATATCCTCTCAGATAGGTCTTATCATTTTGAATAGTTCATTAGTTATAGTTAACTTAATTATTAACAACAAAAAAGTTTATGATTAGTAAAATAATTCGTTTTTAGTTGTTTTTTGTTTTAACTTCTATAATTCTTACCTGTTTCAACAAAACATTCCCTTGTAGCATGTTTAGTACGTTTACAACAATAATAGTACACTCGTCGAATTACTTTTACAATAGGTAAAATAAATATTCGAAGTGCTGTAGAAAGACCACCAACTATACCAAGTATTGTTGCAATAACATAACCTCTATTAAAACGTTCTTCATACGTATAACTACATTTATTTGGTGCACAATTATTATAATACAAATTAAAATTAGTAGAAATTATCCAATCTTCAATAAATAATTGTGATACAATATTATTCAATTTAGTATCAGGAGAAAAACGACTTGGAATCATTTGATCGAGTGGAGTTATATTTGCAATACGAGAATCTATTGTAATATTGGATAAATTAAACGAATACCATTGGATAAGCATATCAATACATGATTTATTATAAAAGCATTCAAGCGAAGATAGAAGAAGAGAATCAATCGGTAGACAACCTTGAAACAAACCTGGTATTGTTTTATTTGGTCGAAAACCAGTTGAAAAACATGATGATATACTACAATAAAATCCTTCAGAACGTGTACACGAAGCATTAATAGCACAAGAACATGTATCACTCCAATCAGTACGAAATACAAAACGATATGAATTATTACCATTAACCAATGTTCTAGTTCGTACAACATTATTACTACTATGTACAAGAAATTGATTGAGTTGAATTGAAGTTCGTACAAGTTCAAATAATTCACGAAAAGAAACTAAAACCTTAAGTTATAAAAATAACAGAAATAGAAAAATAAATGAAAAAGAAAAATATCAATATTCAAATCTTATTATTGATAATGTTTGTTATACATCAAACAAAATGGAGAATTATAATTTCAATTGGATTCAATTGAAGTTAACTGTACTTCATTTATCTAGGAATTTGGAAGACTTGAATCAAATCGAACTGTCTTTCATTGTAATTAAATTTTTATTGATTTTCTCAGAAGAACAAAAATATATGCCATAGACTGAAACGATAGGATCTAGAAACTCTAATTCATCTGGGTTTCTTTGTCTGTCTCTAACAAGCGCTTGGCACAATTGACCATTTTTGTGTTACAAAAGATCATTTCTATGGTACAAATGATCATTGTCATCGTATAAATAACCGAAAAAATAAAACCATCTGATATTATATTCCATCAGTCTAGGACTCAGTGAATCGGCTATCGTTATCAATGAACATGAATTACGAAATAATAGCTAGAACAAATGATAATACTATTTCACAAGACTCGATTTAATTTATATTAGCGAAAAACAAATAAACTTAAAGTATTTCTTGATCAAATACCTACTCTTGAAATCGTCAAATAAGTATACATGTTTGTGTATCGAATTCATTTATATCTAATACTTGAGCAGTAGCAAATTCTGAATTATTGAAAGTAACTAGTTCATTTGTTACCGTTTCATTTGACATCTTACATAATACTTGAAGTAAAATGAATTTTTTAAGGCCTTGCACACGAAAATCAAAAGCATATAAACCACTATCAAATCCATTAAAATACAGTAACCATCTATCATCTTGAACAATGTCACTTGAACATACTTGATGATAATAAGGTTTTATATACATTATTGATGAATAATAAACAGAAAAGTGACTACATGGACATACAAGTGTTGATGCATATTGTTTATATAATTGTTTATATTCATTTAATGATGGTTGATCAACGCTATTATTGTGAATTCGAATAATAATCGATGAATAAAAGAATAAAACCAACATTCCATTGACCAATAAAAAAATGTAAATACGTGTTGAATAAATTCCATCAATTGTTTCAGATGATGATGGAAATATATTTAACTTAAGTGTTTTTTCATAAAATTCACGTATAGAAGAAATAAAACGATATTTTACACCTGCAGAAGAAAATGTATTAAAAAAACATAATCATACAAAGTTGAATCTTACTTTGATTTATCGTTGGTATATTATTATTTTTATTGTGTACAGTTTTAAACTTAGATAATCGTCGTATGATCATGATTATTGAAGGTATAGAGACATAATAAATTGCTTTTAGACCACCAAATATACTAATAATAGTGACAATGACATAAAGTAAATTGAATCGTCGAGAATATAAATATCTGCATGAATGAGGAGAACAAATGTGAAAATAATTACTAAAATTAATTTTTTCATTCCAAAATTCAATAAATAAATGATTAAATAAATCATTTACTGTTGCATTCTTTTCGAAATGAGATGATGAAAGTGCTTTAACTAATGATAATCCATTAATGAATAATTGAATTTCATCAATACATGACTGATTATAGAAACATTCTAATGTTGATTTCAATAATGAATCATATGGTAAACATCCAACCATAATTCCAGGTATCGTAAACAATAATATTGAATTCATAGTTAAATTTTCCGATGTAGTCAAATTATATTCAACTATACGTGCTCTTCGATTCGAAATACCAGCTTGCTGTACACAAGTATTAGTTTTTGAACAAGAACATGTTTTATTTAAAGTTGTGTATTTAAATGTGAGAACTGTAACCGTCGTAGTCCCAGGAATAATTCGCATAGCATAATTTGTTCGCAATCCTGAATAAATTCCATTATGAAATATATTTAAACTAAGAAAATCATTTATATGTCTTATATAAGTAGTTGTTGTTTGTTTTAATTGTTTTATAAGTACTACGACTTGAGTATTGAAAATGTTATATGGTAAAACATTTGTTGTAATTAAGTATCTAGTAGCAAATTCTTTTATTGCATTAGTTACTATTTGAATTATTGTTCGACAAAGTAGTGCAATTACTTGAAAATGAGAGGCTATCATAGTACGATAATCTAACAGATAATAATCACTTATTTTTTCATCAGATAATGATGAAATAAATGTTTGATTGATAAATTGACTTGTACATATCGGATGATAATATGGATTCAATAAAATAAAGTTATTATGACGAATTGAACTTTTTCTACAAGGACATGAAAGAGTTGTTGAATATTGAGCATAAAGTTGTTCAAATATGATTTCATTTGGTGATTGAATAGTTACGGTATATGTTTGAATACTAAAAATTGTAAAAGCTATGACAATAATAACAGTTATTGTTAATAAACATATAAAAAATTTTGTTGCCAATAATTGATCAATAAGAGATAATGTTTCTTCATCATCAAAAAGATTGATGTTGATGAGAAAATAATACAATCGCTTGCATTTACTTGTTTGATTGTTAGATGTTGATTGTGCCATTTTCAAATACTAGAAAAAGAAAAAAGTAAAAGTGTTAAAATGTTATATTATAGAAAGACTTTAAAATATGTTTTTGCATTATTATATTGATTAAAAATGTTTATTATGTTTAAGTCATACGCAATTAGTTAAAAGGTTTTATAATGAAATTCTTTCTTTTTTTCTTCTTCTATGAATTAGTAATTGTAAAAATGTTTGAGATAATTTTACATTATATGTTAGGTAAATATTTCTCTTAAAAAAAATTTACAATATAACTTAGTTTCATTGAAGAAAAACCGATGTAGCCGTTCTGAAATTTCCTCTTTATGAGACACATTCATATACTATACCATTCAAATAATGTTACATACAAAAATTTATTTTTCTATCTGACCTATGATAATTTAGTCTGTGTTAAAAATGAACTTACTCTTCTACAACAATGGCATATAGATTAAAACAAGCTTTTAAAGTTTTTAAAGTTTTTAAAAATAATTCTTCATATTCATTTTCATATATATATGGGGGTGAGCAATTTGACTGGTACCCCGTTTTGATACAGTCCTATTGTATGGATAAAACCTACTATTATCCGGGCCATATAATAGAGGATCCTATATAATCCTGGATTGGCCCGAACAACACCATGTCTTATCCGTATAATAGTAGAGAAAAGCTACTAGTCTCAATCGTGAGCTGGTAGCTTTTTCCTACTATTGTAAGGATAAAACATAGTGTTGTTCGGGCCAATCCATGTTTATATAGGATCGTCTATTATATGGCCCGGACAATAGTAGGTTTTATCCGTACAATAGGACTGTATCAAAACGGGGTACCAGTCAAATTGCTCACCCCCATATATATATATCATTGTTATCAAAGGATTATTAAATCTTTGAGTTTCAGTTATCTACTACTATTTAAGATGATAGTTCATTAGGAAAAATCGGAAAAAAATATTTTTCTCTAACTAGTTCTTTAAAATCTCCATGGCTATAGATACGAGAGATCTGGAAAATTTATGTGAATATACTTCACTAAGAATATGAATCAACAACATTATGTCTGTCTCAATTGCTTTTATATAAATAAAGTCTTAATTACTGATATATAGTTTTTTTTCTTTGATCTTAATAATTTTGGAAGAAAAATAATTTTTAGGCTAGACTACTTTTCTTTATATAAATGTATATATCAGCTGAATATACAGAAAGTATTTCAAATCATCAAATCATTCAATAGTAATAGAAATGAGTTTAAATTCGAAGAGATATTTTTGATCAAAAGATGTACTCTTTGTAATGCATCCAAATGTAGAAGATACACAATAGAATGAAGTAGTACATTTTTTCATTTAACTGAGTATGAGAACAGATAAAATTAGATATAATAAAACTGAATGACTGTCATTATTTTCAAAATATAGGATGAAAATTTTCTTTTTAATAAAATTTTCATCATTCGTTTTTTAGAATATAAACACTTACTACTCACCAAGAAGGTACTCTAATTGATTCTTTCCTTTTTCTTGTTGTGAGTTTGTAAATTTTTCATGAGTAGTATTTTATGAAATTACAAATAACTTTTATTTATTGTTTATTCTTGACAAGTGAAAAATGTTTAGCTAAGTTTCAATTGAAAATTAAATTAAAGAAGTTTTATTTAACATAAAAATATAAGCAAAATTAGAGTTCTCATTAGACAATGTTTCAAATAAAAATTCATTTAGCTGTATTTTCTCAATAATATTTAACTATGAAGTGAAACAGTTATTGAAATATTATTCATTTCTCAACAAACAACTAGAATAAGAGTCTTTCTACGATGAAAAAGGATTGTAGCACATGTGAATGTATCGAGTTATTTTCCGCTTAATAGCTATCGATCTAACTATATTAAAAATTATCGCTCTCCAGTTTCATGAAGTTATTAAAACACATATGCGAAATGTGACGAAATGTATATATTGACTAACACAGTCTTAACTATCTTAGACATAATATTTTATTAGAGATATGTGAAATCAGTTATTTTCATCAATTTGTACGATTTCTGATAAGATTAATACAGAATTTATATAGTTAGATATTTCGATGTTGAGTATCCGTCAAAACTTACATACAACTCATATATAAGCACGCAGACCTTTACTCATATGTCATCATTTGTCTTTCTAAACACTTCTGATTTTTTATATTTGGACTTATGGAAATTTTTCATTTAATGAAATAGATATATTATAATAATTATAAACGTGAGAAAATGAAATTTATTAATTTCATTAGTCGATTTTAAATGAAACAAAATGGATTGTTACATCAAAGTGCAGTGTTTCTTTCTTTCAAATCAAGTCTCATTGATCAATTCAAAAGTCTGTTGTCAATGTTAACCATAAGAAATGTTTAGAAAGACAAATGATGACATATGAGTAAAGGTCTGCGTGCTTATATATGCGTTGTATGTAAGT